CACAAGAAACGCACACATAGAAATTAGGTCAACCGCAGTTGCAGCGCGGGCATAATTCTAGTATAAATAGTGAAAATTTTATATCTAAGTTTTTGAGTTGATATTTGACTTCAAATAAAGCGGACACGCTGTCCGATAAAAAAATTTTGGTTCCTTTTAATTTAAGGAAGCGTAACTGGTACGACATCATGCACTAATCGCGCGCTGTGATGTTGATTAAAACGCAACATTTGAAAACACATTTACATGTATGGCTGTAGCTGAGTGTGCAAAGACGCTTGATACAATTGGTTGCTACCAAGAGCGCCCGGGTTCAATTACCATCAGACGGAACATAAAATAAAATTTGTTTCTTCTTAATTTTAATTTCGTATAACGAAAAAGCTTCTGTGCACTTCGCAACGACATATTTTATAACGTACATACTCAAATTTAAAACGAGGTGGGTTGGTGCTCTTTCATATGCGTATTTTTTTAAATTTAGCACGTTTTTTTTTATTCTAAAACTTTTTTCCCTCAGTGTACTTATTGATATATAATGAACCAAATTGTACTTACTTTTTTCATATCCGGTAACCTCTGTAGATGCAAGCTGTCCATCACCAGCTTCAGCAACTTCTTATTAACCTCACTGGCTGCGAATTGCGAGTGAGTATTCTTATTAATGCTATCGGTGATAAAGGAATCGATTATTTTCATAGAGTTTCTAAGGGAGGCGCCATGAGATTTGACCAGCGTTGGGTTTTCAAGGACATCTAATGATTTCACAACATAGCCTTCACTGTAGGCATCGCGAACTGTGTCCTCATCGCCGTAAAAAATTTGCGAACGCATTTTTGCGTTATGTTGCTGTCTTTTTCTGATTTTCAGCATATGTCCGCGCACTCTTGAATAATGCTGCTCGTTATTGTTGGTAGTAGTGTTCAATTCGGTGCCGCCGCTATTTCGTAGATGTGTGTCAGTAAAATCTTCTGCGCTGCGCCTGATCCGGCGCCTCTGCCGTCCTGGGACTACACTGCGACTTATATGTACTGCTACTGATAATGCTGTTGTGTGTGCCGTTATTGTAGGGGTTCGTTGTGGCCAACCTCGTTTTGGCTGCTGGTTAAATAAGTCACTAATATATGATTTATCATAATTGAATTGACTATAATGTATCGGACTGTTGTCGCGCTTATAAGCGTTTTCTATTTTAGGTGCTTCCACAGTAATTTGGCTTAAATGTTGATCCAATGTGATATTGCGCTCGTGAGACCTACTCATTGAATACGATGCAGCGATGAATGGGGACTGGAGGAAACGTTTAGTGTTGTGCTGCGTGGTTTCCTGCCGATAGATGTCGCCATCTCTTTGATTTATGACCGTGATATCGGCAGATTTCACTTTATTCGAGGTAGGTTGGTATTTTTTTATGTCATAGACACTTGTAAAATTATCCACTAGTGCACGCCACTGACTAACCCCCAAATCAACTTGCATGTCAACAATCGTTCGTTTTTGGTCAAGTTGCTGTAGTTGGTTTTGCGGTAACAGATTTTTTATTGAACGTTCACTACTATTAGTTCGTCTATCCTTTAAGATGGCACTTTCACCAATTTCGAGCGTCGATATCACACTCACTGGTATTGTTGTTTCTGTTGTATTTCTAAACGGCTGTATAGTGGACGTCTTTGTTGCTCCTCTTGAACCTAAATGTTGTCCATTCACATGATTCACCGTCAATGCCGATAATAGCAATGCTGCAAGTAAACATACATGTCGAATAAAGCCATAAGTTGCAGTCGATTTTGTCGTTGTAATTGTTGCTTTTTTAGTTAGCGCTATTAGTTTGCGTAATACTGTGATTGGGGTCGACAAAGCCGTAGTCCGCTCAGATCGGATGCTTGAAGTAACAGCCGCATCTAAAATTGTATTCTGCGTTAACTTTTCAGCCGAAGACATTGATTTTCTTTCGGCTGCTGTTGTGGTTGTCAATGCACGAGATGCGTTAAATGCCGTTGATGAGACTGTAGCTGTTGTTTTTGCTTGACTTTTTTCTGCTGCCACTGGCACTGACGCTGTTCTTTTTATTGATTCACTGCCACCTCTTCTTAGCTCGTGTCGTGCACTGACGCACACTTTTTGTTGTGGCAGGTAGTAACTGTATGCTGTTTGCGACTTGACACTAGTAATATTTATCATGATTTGCGTTTGTCTATATTCGAGCACACACATGTAACTGTAGTTGGTGCCCTTGCAAAAGTCGGGGTCATCATCATCACAATTACCGCCATTGCCCAAACTGTGGCTGTGGTTAATACTTCGTCGGATATAGCCATTATGGTTGTGTTTGCTTTTAGCACTTTCCTTCCCTTGCAGTCTTTTATTTCCAACCCCAACACCAATGTGGTTACCACCGGCATCATCGTCGTGTAGGTACAGCACCTCAGCATTGACACCGTACAGCTGTAAGACTTTGATGACGAACGAATTGTGGCCAACATCTGGCCAGTTTAAGACAGTCGGTGCAGATAACATTGGTGGTCGCCTATGCGAAAGTGGCCACGGCTCAAACAATGACAGCGTGCATTGATTTTCACCCTTCAGCACCAGTCGCGACGCTAGCCGCATTATAATCACTATGCACTGATAGATGGGTGCTGGTGTTGCAGTATCCTCTGAAGCATTTTTCTCGCTACAATACATTAGTAGTTCCTTGATGAAATAGTCATTTTTGTGGTTGCACAGTCCTTCATATTCGCATTTAGCAATAATTTCACTTTGATGATATTTTTTCCGAATACTCAGGTGAATATTTTTTTGCGTTTTGATCATTAGCGCCGTCCTATTTGTTCGGGTTATTGTTAATATGCCTTTAGGGCAGCCCGGATAATACACAACTCTAAGTTTGGACAACGACAGGTTTTATAAAGGTTTTAATAAGGTTTTTCTCATAGACTGTGCTCTTATAAGGGTTTTATAAGGTTCTGCATGAAGAGAAATTATTCTAGAAGGGACTTATAAGGCTCTGCATGTACACATATTTTTATAAGCCTCTTCCTCTATACTCTTTTCTCTTCAATTTCATGGATTGTTAAAATCCTCTACAATTTAAACTTTTAGATCACTATAAATTTCCTTCATTCAGAGCGATTAATCAAAATTTTTTTTGTGGAGTAATTAGTCAGCAATAAGCATAATTATACACCTATATAAATTTTCATGCTTAGAGCAATTTCGCATTCCCTTTTGGAAGTAGGATTTGTCTTCATAAAGATCGTGCACACTCTTCAGTCATAGCATTTCGGATTTCGCTAGATAAAAATATAATTTGTTTTTGAAGTTATATCCCTTAATTAGGCGCATGGGGCGAAGGCCTATTCAAATTGAAGAAACAAATGTCTTTGAGTGGTTGGAGCGCACTCGCGCTCTTTCTAGCTTCCTAACTCCCCGCGAGGTACGTACAATACTCACGGCCACAACATCGTCTTGTACACATGTGTCGCTACTATCTTAAGTCCTTACCCTGTGCGACCACTTACGTAACATTTTTTGGCGAAGGTAAGTTTTTATTTTTGTATCTAAGATTGAAGTCAAAGTTATAATTTTCTTTCTTAAAGTTAACTATAATAAAGAGCTTTAATATTTTTGACAATACACATTTCGTTTTATTTATTTAGTCACGGCTATAACATCGTCGCGTATACATGTGTCGCTACTCTCTTGAGTGCTGACCTCATGCGACCACTAACGCAACATTTTTTGTCGGAGGTAAGTTTTTACTTTATTTTTTTTCAGTTTAAAGTCGAAATTATGTTTTTTTAAGGTAAGCATAGCATTATGTTCCTGTTTCACGTGAAAAAGCTGTCAAATTGCATATAAAATTTCTTTCTGTGAAATAAGTGTGAAATTCCACAGCTTTTCCTCAGCAAAGTAGTACTCTGTTCACGCTGTGAAAAAGCTTGCAACATGTTGGCAACATGAAGCTAGCAACACAATTTTCATGGCAATTTAAAATACACATGCACATTTTAATTTTTGTGAAAACTGACAGTTTATATAATTTAAACGGGGGTTAAAGGTTTAAACCTTACCCCAACCGGTCGTAAAACTTTATTTCACGTACAAGGAAATTGCGAATGATTACTTATTATCATATGACTGGTTCGAACACCCCACGAGAATGGCTCGTTTTTAACAGTTTTATAAACATTTTAACACAAACCAATGTGATTGCAAATAAACAAAGAAGATCTAAAAAATTTCAAACACTAACAATTAGCGACCGCTATGATTAGCAGTGCGCGCTATCAATCCGCAGGCCCTGTGCTCAAGCCCACTTTCTGAACAACATCAAAATATAAATTAAACAAATAAGTTTTTTTCTAATAGCGGTCGCCCCTCGGCAGGCAGTAACAAAACCTCGGAGTGTATTTCTTCCATTAAAAAACAGCTTCTCAAAAAAATTCAATCGCCGTTCGGAGTCGGCGTAATACTGTGGTCCCTCCTCTGTTGTGTGACAATATCAAGGCATAAACCACGAATCGGAGGAGAAGCTCGGCCATACACTAACATATTATATGCAGATCTAAAAGGTATGTTTGGCGGGTGTGCCTAGCTTATGTTCAATTTCAAACTTCTGTTTTGGTACTAAATCCCCTTTTTTTTGCTAAAAAGCTAAGGAAATTTTTGAAGTAAGTTAAACTGAATGAAAAAAGTATGACTCCTAAGAAAAATGTAAAAGACCATCATATGGAATTATTCATGGACGAAGGTAGAGGCGATTGCTTATTGTTGTCATATTAATTTTCTTATTCTTATGTTGCAAGCTTTTTCACAGCGTGAACAGAATACTACTTTTCTGAGGAAATGTTGTGGAATTTCACAAAAATTTTATATGCAATTTTACAGCCTTCTCACGTGAAACCGGAACAGAATACTATGCTTAAACATCTACATTTTGAATTGTGTGAAAACTGACAGTTTATAGAATTCAGTAGCGGCGAACACATAGGGCAAAGTAAAATAGCGAAATAGGCAAGAAAAGGCCCTATAAATTGCAAAAAAGGCAAAAGAAGGCACTAAAAAAGTCAAAAACAGAAAAATAATCAAAAAATTCATTTATTTTAGAAATTTTTATATTACAAGTAAAAAGAGAAAAACTATGAACTAGTTTCATTATATGAACAAATTTTACATTGAATCTGTGACTGTGTTCTCCTTTCGAGTTTTTAACACACAACACTTTAATCTCTATAGTTGTAGTAACATTGAACCGCAAGATGCATTTTGAAGTTTTCTGGCAGCATTTTCATTTCACGTGCGCTCGATGGCGCCCAATTTAAATATGGAACGTTTGAAACTTTCGAAAAAAGGCAACATCAAATGTGTATATATGGAATCAGGGAAAATTAAATCGTGGACATTCTTAATAGAATATCCTCTATCTCTTTAGCAGCAAAAAGGCAGTTTCCATAAAATCCGTTTCCTGCTTATTATCATATGACGGGTTAGAACACTGACTGAGAATGGCTTGTTTGTACATATGATTTAAAGGGATATGGAAAATTTAAAAATTTTCAAAAACTAACAATCAGCGAACGCTGTGTTGTGTTGGTTAGCAGTGCTCGCTACCATTCCACAGGGCCTAGGTTAAAGCCCAGTTTCCGACCAACATAAAAAAAAAAGTTTTTTTCTAATAGCGGTCGCCCCTCGGCAGGCAATAGCAAAACCTCCGACTGTTTCTGCCATGAAAAACAGCTTCTCATAAAAATACAATCGCCATTCGGAGTCGGCGTAAAACTGTGGTCCCTCCTCTGTTGTGTGACAACATCAAGGCGCACGCCACGAATAGGAGGAGAAGCCCAGTCAAACACTAACATATTGTGTGCATATCGAAAAAGTACGTTTGGCGTGTGTGCCTAGCTTATGTTTAATTTTTACCTTCTGTTTTAGTACTAAGTCCACTTTTTTACCTTCCTTTTATTAGCTCGGCATGTAACTATGTGATATTGATGTGCCTAAAAGATGCAGCGATTTCTATTCTCAAGTTATATACCTGATGACAGTACGAATGGCAATCATAATAGGGAGGTTTTAGTTTTTTAAACTATAATTTTTGCTAACTAACTAACACTAAGGAAATTTTTGAACTAAATAAACTGCATGGAAAATGTATGACTTCTAAAAAAATATTTGAATTAATTCCCTCAACTTTACATGATGTAGAAAACCTAAGAAATATAATAAAATAAGATATATTAAAACAGCCTCCAAAATTTTTTACAAACGACGCAAATCAATTTGACTGGAAATTTGTTGTCTTTTTATTTTATTTTTACTTTACTTTTTGATGTGCCAAATTTCATGTGAAAACAATGCTGGAAAAATTTCGCGGATGTGAACAGAATACTAACCTTAACAATTTTCTTTCTACACTTTTATTGGGGTCACTCGGGACCCCATGCGACTAATTAGGGCACCGAAATTGCGCATATGGAAACTGTGCATTTAGACATTATTTCGGTTCCCGCCGAAACTGTGCATGTGTGCTCATGGGGGTAGCCAGGTAGGGGAAGGGGGGGTGCTCGAGCCTCCCCCCCCCTAACTTTCAAATTTTCCTTATATATATATAAAATAGTACCCTGAAATGCCAGCTTAATAGGGTCGAGCAAAAAAATTGGGGTATACTTTTTTCGATATAGAACAATCCTAGGGGGTGAGAGCATAACAATTCCGACTATACTGTGTTTGGACCACCCTATTGTGTACCCACGCCGCAGAAATACTGTGGTGATGTGGATGACGCACGGACTGTTTTAACTGAGAAGGCGACTGAAAATTTCACAAACAACAAAAATTACTAAGAATAACATAAATCAGCCATGGTCGAGTGGTTTGTGTGACATCAAGGCACACACCGCCAATCGGAGGAGAAGCTCGGCCAATCATTTTAAACTTTGCACAGGCGTACTAATATAACTGGTAATAGAAGCATTTTGTGTCCAATTTGCCGTCAAATTCTTCGACAATCGACGAAAGTATTTGTTTAACTTTTTCATGTTGCTTTTTTTTTGAATCTTTGAATTAATCAATTTTCATACACATGTACATTAGAGTGGTCCAAAAAAATAAAGTCAGAGTTTTAATGCCGGCACACCCTAGGATTGATCCATATCGAAAAAAATATACCCCAATTTTTTTTATTTTGAAATCAAAAAATATTTCGGGAGTGCTCAAAGCGTTCAAAGTTTTCCATGTATTTTATGTGGGGAAAAAACAATTTTTCGTAGAAATGGTATAAAACTCTTGAAAATCAGTATTTTTCGACCGTAAAACTATGGTTCTCTTCAGGAGACTAATATCCAATTGTTTATTTAACCATTTTTTATGATTAAAGATTTTTTATTGTTCCCCCCCCCCCCCCATTGCATTTTCTAAGGGCTTTGGAGGACCTATAAAATATAGTTACCATGAAAAAATTGTTAAAGAAACAATTGAGTATTATTACTGGGAATCTCCTGAAGATAAGTAAAGTTTTCCGATCGAAAAATATTGATTTTCAAGAATTCTACACTATTTTTACGAAAAGATGTTTTTTCTCCATAAAAAATACATGGAAAACGTTGAGCGCTTTGAGCACTACCTAAATTATTTTTTATTTCAAAATAAAAAAATTAGGGTATATTTTTTTCGGTATATAACAATCCTAGGGGGTGGCGGCATTAAAAATCCGACCTTATTTTTTTATATACATTTTTGGACCACTTTAATGTACATACATACACACATATCGTCGTTTAAAGTACAAAACCGCGTATCGTCATTCTGCAAAACCTCGTAACT